GCACCGGTTTCTTGTCTTCTGTCAGCATGTGGCGTTACTGTCAGCCCGAAACTAAGCTTTCGCCATGAATGACGCGGCCAAAATGTTGTACTCGGGTCGACACTCCTATTACTTTCAGCGTTTTGCTGACGGCCAGGAAAGCGACACTTCATGAAAATCGAAGATTATGCACAACTCTCCACAGTCATTTTATACGTACGTACGTACGTACGTGCACAGTATGAACTTATCATCGCACGTCACCCGACTCGAACTATATTCGGCTAGGGGTTCCCCGTGCTTAAAATCGTTCTGTTTGTTCCGAGTAAGCCATAAGCTATCGCAGAAAGGCTACGAGCGTTAATATTAAGATGGCATTGAATCATGCGGGTGCCACCTAACGGAAACTGTCCCACCAGCCGGCGAATAAGGACTGATTATATTGTACTAAATTTTCAATTGTTTCTATTTCGCGCCGTACCCACAGCTTTTTTGTTGCGCTGGTCTGCGCGAGCAGCCTGGCCTGGCGCTAAACGACCGAGGTATTGCGTTCTGGAAGCTCACCTTCAAGTGGCGGCATATTCTATCGCTGGTATATATATATAAGAGCTCCGGTAGACTGGATACGAACCGGCCTGCCACAGCCAGCGAGCAAACAATTGCACAGCAAGCCGCTATGGGTGCAGCGCCGGAACGCTACGTCAAACGAACCCATTTTACGTTGGGTCAGACAAAGGGAACCGCATCGAGCATTGCGTCGGCCCCTGGGCCGTACTAATTCGCAATCGGTCAATCGCTCAGGGCGCGTCGATCGTTTACACGACCACGATTCATCTACGTCCTTACGAATGATATGAGCCGTCACGAAATCTCTGCTCGTAATCATATAACGGCGTTACGCCAAGTCACAGCAGCAGTTGCAGCGACAAGAAAAGCTCAATCAAATTAAGCCATAATAATAAACAGGTATACACGTTCGTTTATGACACGAATTAAAAATAATGAAGGCAAATGTTAGAAAACGTATATTATATAAATAAAAAGCGGGGAAACGTATGTTGTCAGTCTATCTGTAAGTTATTGATTTTTTAATCACTTGCATAAAGGGTAGGGTTATTACTAAAAATAAACTTATTTATATAACAAAAATGGCACGAATAACGCTACATTCGCTGCGGCGTTCAACCTTAGTTACATTTCCTTTTCTCCAGATGCACACCCCTTTGTGTTTTTCGAAAACGGTCTAAATCTTGGAACTGTTTACACTATGGTGAATTGTTGGCATATAATGACATGCTTAGGTTTTCTACTTGGGCTTCCATACACCGAAAATATACGAACATAAACACGTCATCGTGTAAAATAGATGCTCTACTTGCATTTAGCCGAGACGTCATATCCGACGTGTCTTCTTGTTTCGCGTTCGTTGTTGAAAATAAATGACGTCATTGAAAGGGATATAACCTGCGTTTATTCATTGTCCAAATGTGCGTCGACACGGTAGGCGATCAGCGGATATCAACGCCCGGGTTTGAACGATACGAAAAACAATGCAACGGGTTTGCCACCCAGGACATTGTACGGCCGGGCTGGTCTTTAGCCAGGTTTTTTTTGCTGACCGCCGCGAGTCACCTAGCCAAAAAATAGGCATGAAGCTGTAGTACCGTCGCACTCTGTGTTAACGTACGTCAGCAAAGATTAATAGGTCCTCACGAGCTGAGGAGGCGCATCATAAGGTCACGATGCGATGGTAAACACAATTAAGAAACGCTGATGATGAAGCAGAAAGAGACTACTTTTGAAAGGTCACACACTTGCGCGCGTACAGGCCTCACTGGGCTCGTGTAACATTATAGGACACTTTAGCAGTCGACAACGAATAGCAGTCGGACTATTTAATAGTACGATTGATATCAGTTGAATCGGCCGTTAACAATTTCGATCTACGTCGATGGACTTACGTGTACTTCTGTGCAGGTGATGCGGCTAGTAGGGGTCTCAGATGGGACCTACTGTGCCTAGACCCGATATACCAAATGTCGTGATCACTTTTCAGTGTTCAGTCTACATGTCGACCGCCAGAACTAGGGTTACACCAGCTAAACGACACACATTTTCTGACAGGAAGATGTCCGGCATAAATAGAGCAGTTGCTCGACTCCGTCGTGCAGTCATTCCTTAATGGACGATCCTAACGCTTACGTGCACCTAATACACGGATGTCGTGTAGGCATGATTATATTATAATAATAAAAATAAGTAAATTTTATTTTGAAAAATCAGGCAGTTATTATGAGTTACACATATTTAAGGGTCGTTTTTCCGTTGATTCACGTTAGACATGACTCCCGATTAGTGAAGGAGCCACCTGTATACATCTGCTCAGCTTCGAATTAAAAAAACAGTGTAACTACTAGCTAGGAACAGCCGCATCAATTGATTAATTTTGGAACATTGTCCACATTTTACTTGAGCGCACTTTTTTGTTAGAGAGCTTAAGCTTGTCAACAAACTTTTCGTTGTCTGCTCGTTAGAGTGGAAGAACATGGCGTCCATGTTTCTAATTACTCGTATTGAAATCAAAAATATTTTTGCCACGAGTGTGCGTCTTACTGGTGCCAATGTTTGTCCGGTCCTTCTGCCTGTGCTGCTTCAGTTGAATCTAATAAATCGGTCGTTGATGATCGTCTTGACCGAGGTCGCGGAAAGCGTAATTTTTCTTTATAGACAACATTCTGCCACGGTACCTGATAGTGGTGCCAATGGACATGTCATACGTCGACCTCTCCACTGCTTTCATTATACGCAAACAGAGACTTTTTTTTTTTGTCTACTTCTATGTGACGTCAATTTTTCTACGGCATTCGCCTTTCGGTAACGCTCATGGACTTTGGCGTCATCTTTACAAAACATGGCACGCGGATCATTTAAATATTGATTTTGCGCGGTCGCATCTATCTGCATAGATATCTGGTCGATTCTCGCAGATTAATAGAACTTGGCTCCGACTTGAATTGTCCGTACTTGCGCCTTGCAATATTGGCTTAATAGTATTCAAGCAGCCTATATCGACAGTGGGCACAAGCACGATTTTTTATCGGAGGGCACTTGGGCAGCGACCATTCCACTGTTCAGTCATTGCCGTTGCGCTGAATAACTTAGTATTCTATTAATGACTTCATATATACACATATATACGCAACATAAGTTCTTATGTATCTTACATATCTGGTTCATGTGTTACTTGCTTCGCTTCGTCCCTGTCCCATGGTGACTGATTCTACTGGGTTTCTACGTTTTGTATTGTCTTAACTAGGTGCTATTTTAGGCTTCGCTGCCTTCCGCATCTCATTAATGACAAAGGCGATGCGGTCAGGTCCATCAAACTTCAGTTGCTACCTGCCTGCCTTGCTGACTGGCTGACTAATGCTGGACATACATGGATATGAATAAAAAGCATGCATTGAATCGATTATTCTTCCAGCATCATCTTTATATTGTAGAATTATGCGGGCAAAACATCCTGTGCTGTTGCCCCTGCAGCCGCCGGCATTTTGTCTGGCCCAGCGAAACTTCTATGTGTATCTGTCGGTATGCCCAAAAGCGTCGGCATAAACGGCGAACCTTGTTACCAACAATAGCAGAGGGTCATGCGAAACTTTTGACACGATAACAGCAGTGTCAAACCTGTAGCGTCGCTGTCGTCCTTGAAAGATCAATCGAAGTAGCGAAGTCGAGTCTGGTGGTGTTCCCATTTTTTTAGCGCATTTGCCCTTTTGCAAGGCTTTGCAGGGCACTCCTCGTTGTTGTTGTTGTCACTGTTTTTGAGACCTGTGTACGTGTGAGCTCGTATTTGCTGCCTTCGGTGGGCGTAAGATGTAACCTATTTTGTAGTGGGATGAGCTGCTTAGAGAGGCAAGGTTAAATGGCGTCTGGGTTCGAAACCAGACGGACACTATCCACTGAACGTCTGAATCGATCTTTAACTAAGGCAGTAATAGCGGACGTGTAATTCAGAAGTGTTTAAAGCTGCAAGACGACGGAAGTGTAATATGGAAGAGAGAACGATATATATCGAATATAGAAACCCGTGAACTGTAAGAAGAGTACGAATGTGTTTACGGTTAGCGTACGTCGAATTTATTGTAACCATTGTTAGTTTCCAAAATTTCCAAGGTAGCGACATTTTCTCCATTTCGAAAAGTACGCGCCCCTTCTTGACAGCAAAGTAGAGAGATATGCCGGATATGCACGAACGACTCAAGCCTGACAGGACAACTAGCAAACGTAACACAGGCGGATAAAGTTCAACCACGGCGTAGTTGAAGGGCACACTTGGTTATTTTGAGAAGCAATTACGATGTAAGCTCTTAGATATTTGTCAGCTTTATATTATATGGAACGGGAGAGACCCGCGCAGTCTGGTTACAAAATGAAATTGCTCAACGTTGTCATAAACATGATTACTTATTATTATTATTATAAACATGCACACCCGTACGATTTAAAGCTCATGCGCACACAAACACATCAACTAGTTCTTATGTGGTAACGCATTTTATGGGTCACTTCAGCCTTCACAATAACAACTGATATCTCGTTTATGTTTATGAAGTAGACAGACATGCAAACATTCACACACACACACTGCGGGCAGATTCAATAAGATGTGCTTTTGCTTGCTGGACAGTTTTTATCAACAAGTTTCTTTCAATGTGTGCCGAATGAATCATGGTTTTGCCCTATTTCCTTATTTCATTAACATGCGCAACAACAGAACAGAATAGCATGATTTCCCCATTATTTACATAACTGGCGCGACCTGTAGCCCCGTATTGGCGCACATTGTTCCTTGCCCCATTCTTCCTTGTTGCCTAAACGACCGGTGTGACCGAGGAATAAACTGTGGCAACATAGCTGTTCTACAATGTTACGATGTATAACTTAATATTTATATATAACTTATTTAACTAGTTAGACTGTGTACCGCCCCACCAAAGTGAGTCATAACGCTACGCGGTTCCGCCAAGCCATATATTCCGCTGCATTAAAAAAAAACCAGTCCGTTTAAGATAGCTCGTTCGTAGTAGCATGGCCCGAATCTGGCTAGCAGCTAACAGTCGCTATCTCCGTCTGCTTATAAATGGTCTTCGACGCTGCTGATTAAGCTGCTTGTCACACTAACATCGACGGCCTTCGCTCAGGCCAATTAAGCGATAAACTCTGAAAGGAATGGACGCCAATAATAATGATATCAGCAACAGTAATAAACAGAAGAAACTGCCGTGGAACTATTTGGTAATCGTGATTTTCAGAGCCGCTTTCCTGTCAACTACCGAGGCTGGAACGATTTCTGCAGGTGACAAGCAGGTCTAATTTGGTTGCGGCAGGCGTCACCAAGTGCCGTCAAGCAGCGACAAGCAAGGTCGTGGCATGATTCGGGAGGACAGGAGGAGAATCAGATGAACATGTTGTTTTAGATAAAAAAAAAAACAAACTGAAAAGACTCACCCATTTTTTACATCGCGACCATGAAACCCGGCCATAACACTGGGAGTTACATTTGCGAATGTGCAACACGCGCGCACCAGATGGTCTTCTAAGAACGTAGATCGATCGTTTGAACTTCCGGTCAGGAACTCGTTATGCGTCACATAGAATGCTCTAGTACGTGCACTTCATATGGATGAAAATGTAGATAAGAGATGATGGGGAAAAATTGAAAATCGGAACAAAGAGGGAAAACGAGAGAATGAGCCTACGCGGTTAAGATATAAATTGATACAATGACAACGAACGGAGACGTCTCGAACTTTGCTGCGAATAGAGACTTACGCGGGTCAAATGCTGAGCTGATTTTAAGCAGTAACCGATTTCAAGGATCGTCTTATTTGACTGAAAAGGTATTCAGTCGACGTTGGGGACCGAATCTATGCTCGTGCTTGTAAGTATGACATGCATTTACTGGGGGCAAGTCTTCGCCTCTACAAAATTCTGGACGTACTATACTACCGATTACGTGATCCTCGTGTTTCATATTACTACTAGGAAATCACAAGAACGGACCGTATATGTACGCGCCATTTCACCCGGTCCTTTTGTAGGACGGTTGCCTCTTGCGAGCAGAATTTAATATCAAATCAGAATGAATTTCCTAGCCACAGCACACCAATTAGAAAGGCAGGTTTTTCTATTCTAAATCAATAGCGTGTAGTGATCTCGTGACGCATTATTATTACGGTAAAACATTATAATCAAAGACGCACTTCTGCGCAGGCAGCCTGGCACACAATGATATGTTGGTAATTAGGAATGACTTGGGGAGGAAACCGGGACAGGCACACCTCGCCGGCTGTGTAGACTGTTTTCGAATTAAATTTCGTCTTATTTTTTCGGCATCCTAAGAATTTTAATTTAGTTTCGTTTTATGACGGTGGCCTAGATATGCAGTAATATAATAAATTATTATTAAATTAATTTAAAAGAATTGTAGGTATTTTCTTGATCGGAAATGACTCCAGCTGCCATTGCTGGCGCAGTGATTGGCCGTAGTTGCGGACAAGATGGGCGTTAATAATCAAAAGAGAAATATTAATAAAACAGTGCTAGAGTGGGCTTTATCAAATAATAAGCAACAATAAAACATTTGTAGTAAGGTAGTTCTCATTTTGAAAGCGTTGGTCACTGGATATCTAAGAGAAGTTCGGTTCATTCGACGTTTAGTAATTGGGTGGAAGTTTAAAGTTGGGGCTCGATTAATCTCCGGTTGACGTTCAACTAAGGATACCATCGTAATCTTGTTGAGTTAAAATCTCAATAACAATTTTCCGCAGTGAAACACAATTACGCTTGGAAATTTCTACCTTTATATATACAATTGTATATTTAATTCATGCAGTTGGTGCTTTCCCAGCAAAAACGCCGACCGTCAGTGTTCGGAATACTCAAAACATTATTGGCAAAAAGAGCTCGCTTCTTTCAAAAGAAAACTGAACAGATGGGACCTCCGTGTTAACGATGTCGACAGCGGCGAAATTTCTTATCGACCATCGAGAGTAAACGATAACTCTTAGCATTTGTGGAAAGGTGAAAAGTATAAAGGTAGTGGCTGGAAATTGATCGTCTTTATAATGAAACTGCTAACGACATCACAAGGACTGAAACCCTCCGAGGTAGATGGGACAGTGATGGTGACAATAATCAAAAATATCTGCCCTTCACGGATGAACACGTAACTACGCTTATAGGTGAATGGAAGCTTACCCCTTTACCGTTTTCATGACCTGCATGCCGTCCCCTTGTTTACAACTCTTACTCCGCTTGTTTGACTCATCTCAGGTTTGGTTAATGGCGAATCAGCCTATTTTTCAGAAAGCGCACCCGGACTCAGGGCATCTGCATACCCGAGATTATGCCTTTCCTGAGTCTTCCTCTAGCAGCAGCAGGGATACAAGCGGGATACAAGCAGAATCGACTGAATTCCGATGCGGTCCTCCCTTATCCCCTTAAAGCTAGCTACTCATTGGCGCTGTTATGAAAACACTGGAAGGTTTGGTGAGTTGATTACACAAGGAAGGGGAATTCACGCTTGTAGTCCCGATTCAGCTTTTTGTATGAAATATATGAGGTTGTTTCTTGCAAAGTATATACACTTCAGAACGGAGAGAAACCTGGCGGGTCGGTAGGTCGGTGATCCTATGATCGTATTTTCAGTTATCACAATGTATTGAATTATGAGTTTATAGAAACAGTTGCGTGTTCCGTATAGATGCAAGTACAGGATGAAAGTGGGTCAAAGTGAGGTAAATGTTCTCTTGTGGTGACAGGCGACCTAAGATAAAAAGCTGTTGGTAACTCGGATCACAGAAAAACTGAACGCCTGGAAAGGATTTTTTTGCGGAAAAAATAAACGCGGCGAACAATACAGCAATTGGAGATACAAAACAGTTAAAGGAATCGCAAGTTGTATATTCGAGTAGAAAACGTCGGCTTATGTCACTTGGGTTTCTTAGAAAAAGCTTAGGATGGTAGACGTGGACCTCGATTCACAAAAAAAATTCAAATTGATTCTGTTGGCACAGAGCAGACAATGAGCGCATACCGGCAAAACAAACAGACGTGTGAATGAACACGTATACACAAGTTTGATACCAGACACTAAACGCAAAGTTCAGCCCCAGATCTACATGATGATAATACCGCGCAGTGTCAATACATTGAAATCTGCTCTACCCATATGAACGAACTGCGTATTTGAATTCTTCAGGGACTTTAAAAGCGATATTCAGTAGCATTAGTACTGAGATACCCTCACAGTTATTCGAGGATTATTCCGAGGACCCCACAGCTAGATACAGAAAAAAACAATTCGATCCACTCATGCACATAATAGAAACGAACTTGACCAAAATAAACTATAACGATAGTCGCCAAAAATACACACGACTCGTAAGTGATACATGTTTGTATCGTTTGCCCTGCTAGGCCATCCCCGTTTTTTTCGCGAAGATGCTGTACCTATTTGCTCACGGATGCCAAATTTTTGTCGCCGTAGTTCCTCTATTAAGCTAACAGAAGTTGGATAATTCGAGTTTGCAATGAGGTCATTTGGCAGAACATCGCATCTGCCGTCTGCGGCCTTCGTCTGATTTTACGTAGACAGTACTCACGGTTACTTAACTCGGGCTCCGGGCGCGAGTGGCGCCGAAAAATCTCTATTGTACCATAAAAAGCTGAACATTGGCTGAAAGGAATAACGAATGTACTTAAACAAAAAGATTTCCTACGTTTCTCGCAAAGCTCGTCGTTCTGACGTCGAAACGATGCTTTACCCCTCCCTCTCGCCACTTGAGCTTAATGATATTTGGGTAACCACTCACGTAAACACTTTCAAGTTGTCTAACGTCGACTGTGGATATAACAACACTAGAAGTAATAATGACGATAGAAGTAACCAGTAGAAATAATGATAAGGAGAACCGTCGTCTTACCCAGCAACTGAAACAAGATGAAAGGAGCTATAGGAAAGAAGGCACACCCTGACACAGACGACACCCGTCGCTCTCGAGGGAAATAAAAGCTAAAGATGTGATGAAGATCGCAACAACACCTCAACAGTCGTCAACGGCACAAGGGCGCCAGGTAAAGCAAGACGGAGGCAGACAGATGGGCGAATGTACATACTTAGAGAAAGCGAAGAGGGTATGGTGTGCACGTGACAGTCCTCGCCACTATTGTACCTGCGATCTCTATGGGAAGCCATCAGTCATTTCACCCGAGGGCGTAGTATACGCTAAGCGACAATGACGAACACGAAAGCGAAGTACGCCTATTATGGAGCAGACCGTATAAAAAAAATTGAAGAAACCTGGGAAATATAGGATTGAAGATGGACTGGTAAATGGTTAGGCGTACGAGACCAGCAGCTCGATAAGGACGGGCGATAGAACTAGTAAGTGAACAGGCTGAGGGCTTTTTATACATAGATATTGAAAACGGACAATCAAGCTAATCATAGGCTCGGGACGCAGATAGTACTGTGAAACCGAAAAAGGACGGATAAAGTTAGGACTCAAAACGTTGGTTAGCCGTTTCGCTTAGTAGGACGTTCGGCAAAGTTTTAATATAGCTCGTTTCGACGTAGCACGAAGTTTGAAAATCGACGTGGTCTTCTGTAGTTTATATTTGCAGATTAATCTATGAAAACAAACGAGCCAGTCTACAAAACGATAACAGCACAACATATTAATATTTCTGTCTTCCTTCTGATAGCGCATGTAGATAGTCAGGGCGCCCTCATCGACAATTTACGGAAACAAGCCAATTGATGTTATCTAGTAGGACATACAAGATAGTATTATCGACTGAACTGTTATAGGCCGACGAAAAAGATTTTTTCTGCCTAAATAGCCAGCGTTCAAAAATGGGCAGCTTCCGGATGTTTCATTGTTGGTACACAATTCGAGGGGCAATCATTGCTCCAAAGTTCTACTAGAATCTCTTAAGGTTACAGCATTAGGTCATTTTGTACATGGGGTCGGGATTACGATCCTGTCGGGAATTCTAGCACCTCGACATGTTGGTACCACTTGAAAATTGCTTAGGAAGTATAGAATTATCTGTATGGATGTGTAGACTTCTTGCCCTGGGAACTATACCACCAAACATCGACGAAAGCTTGCGGGTCATGGCAAATGGATTTGTCGCCCATTTTACAGACGGCGATGATCGACCTAGCCAGGCTACCGAGCTTGCATGTAGATTAGCTGAAAAAAAGATTTAAACACTTTATTTAAATTTAAGAAAAGATTTAAATACCAGATGTCAGGTTACCTCGAAACCTTGATGTGCCACGCAGTTGTAAACAAACATTTTATCTAAATGCGAGGCCAAATGAAAGAAATCATATGTTCACATTATAGGTCTTCCTCGGCGCACTATGCAATTCCGTTCCACACATTACCTTTTAAGATATCGGCTATTTCAGAGCCTAGTACCTCAGAAACGGGAGCGCTGACTGCCTCTGGTTTTTAACCACTTCCAAGATCAAGGGAGATAAACATATTGATGTACCGACTGCTAGATGTTGAATGCCATTGTTACCTTCGGGAACACTCTGAGATTTCCTGCAGTTTTTTTTTTGTAAATCTGGTTGCTATGTTAAATCCTATGGAAGGAAATCCACCAGGTTAACGCTGCTATTGGCACGTTTTTCTCTGAGCAGCGGCGAGTAAAGCCGAGACGAATTAGGCTACAGAAATGGTGTACACTTTATACGACAATACAGAGCCTTCAATGTTTACTGCATCTCTCGGCAGCCGTTCCCAGAAACCTCGAGCCTCGAACCACAAAACCCAAGGTTCGTTGTCTTCGTCGTCGTTATATAATAGCTAGCTAAAACTAAAGTTCGATGTTGTAATGATTTCAAAGATGGTTCGCCGTTTATCTGGTTCCGACTTCTTGCTGCGGTTGTATGTCGGATGGCGCGCAGTTGTCGTGTCTTGAGTTGTCAGAGGCTCTTGTTTGGCCAGCGCATTGTCGACAATACGTTGCCAAAGTTTTATATATGTCGCCCGTAGCTTGAGTGACTAAGACCTCATCCTGTGCTAATCGGCTGCGCCAATCGTGAGCAGCATAGGGATGCGAGAAGCGACAATCAAACCATTCATCCGGTAATCTTCATCTCCCAGCGTACATACCGAAAGGTGACGAAGTGTCACGAGGAGTTCTTCATCGCTCTTCACGCAACGGTAAGGCACAGCTTGGTAGTACCATAAAGGACTGCCTGCGCCTTCAACAGGGGTCGACTCAAGACATTTTAGGGATAGACGTCCGTGCTAAAGCAGGTCGCGTAGAAAGTATTTCTTAACAGAGAACACATTTATGGCGTCGCGTATGTTCAGACACTAACTACACAGCAGTTTCTACGGGCACAGTAATCAGCAAGAGACTGTTTCAATGGGTAAGTCAAACGGCGTTCAGTCCGGTCAACCGTGACTATGTGGCTGTGTGTTATACGAACCGAAATGGGCTCCTTAGGGGGTAGGGAAACTCACCCTGTAGTATTAAGAGCTAAGAAATGAACTTCGCTGGTGTGTATCCCCCATAGGACGCATTCGCGAGTGAAGATCGGTAAGGATGAATATACAGATAGTAGGAACCTTATGGAGTGTGCAATAAATGCGGGACGTATCTTGTTAAAAACAATTATTTTCAAGTACTGTTATATTTGTTATTAAACACTGACGTGTTTTACAGGGATGCTTTATTTATTTTATCTTATTGAACGGCATGATTTCTCTGAGGATACTATTTTCATATTTTGTGATATTTTGTACAGGCCGATGAGGCATCTTCTTTCTGCCAACACCAATTGCTAAACTATTTCCCGCGTTCAGCCAACGATTATCTGCTGCCCAGTAACTTGTTGTGCAAATGCAAATTTCTTTAAATTCACAAATTTCATTCAACTTTAGTATAATTTCCCATTTTAACCCATTTTTCGCCGTATTATTTCTGTGCTCTACCTGGCCAGATTGTCAGTTCCCGTCGCTACTGGCCACGAAGACCAACTGATGCGTTCATGGTAGAAACGCCCAGCTGCAATCTCTCTGACGTCATATCACCACCACGTTATGTCAAGTCTCATCCACCAGCGCTCTAGCCCACGTAAAAGCATCGAAGAATTATATAATCACGACATTTGCCACGTACGGCATACATCAACGCTCTTGTCACTGACTATTGCCAACCGCCATTCCCTCCAACGATGTAACGGTTTTGCTCTGGACTATTAACATCGAAATACAAAGTCACCTTTAGCCGTTAGCGTACAGCTGGCACGATTACTAATCTTAAACGATCCGTCACAAGGATCATAACCACAGTAGTGCCGGCTACGACGGCTACCATTGTAAAAAGCTCCATATGACAGCGATATCCACTTCGATCCGTAGGAATCGTTGGTTTACCGTTTTCACACAGTTGACGTATCACGCGACGGTTCTTCCGCTTAGACGGGCAGTGACCATAATTGGCTAGTCTAGATTGCGTCAACCAGCGTTTGCGTTACGAGATACCGAACGACGACGAAAGGTCAGGGGAGAGACGCTTAATAAGATGAATTCCACCGTATGAAACCTTCTAGATGATAAAGATGAAAAGGCGGATATTGATTCTTGTAATTTAAATACTGTTTGCTTCTTTCAAATCAGGTCAGATTTGTTGTCTAGTATATGTCGATGACGGGGCTTGAACCAGCGACCGTTGGGTGCTCTAGCGAGAAGTGGGCTGGCTAAGCCGCCGTATACAAATTTTACAGTATTCTATCGGCCGGTTTTATTGGCTCAATACAACAGCTGTTTGTAGTAGAGTACACATTGGCTATATGACATCTTGTAGAAATATTTCTATAGAAGTGCATGTAAACATTGGCCGTTTGGTGAACGCGAATAACGTACTTTCCGAATATTACTGCGCAGTTTGGAGAAATGTTCCGGAATTAACAAGGAGGACGGGAACAAACAAAGAATAAAGTTGAAAATCTTCTAATTGTTTTAAGGTCACATATTTCAAAATAAGGACAAGCATGGGCAATAGCGTTGGTACATTTTATACACATTGTGTTGCATCTTACATGCGTAACCGTCTTTGTATTCCAAATAAGCATACATGGTAACGCCACTGATAGTTCTGTATGTGTTAAGCCAGCTATTTGACGATAAGGGTTATTGAACAGTTAAAGAACACCATCTCCTAGGGTCGGACATAATCACGCATAGGAAAAAAAGAACTAAAGGAAAACATATGTAGGAATAAGGAAGGTAGATAATTTCAGTTGACCTTAAAGCCTTGATTGTGTTCTTGTATTCCTCTCTGTTATGGCTTTTTTCTAGCTGCCGCGTCTCTACCACAGATGTCCTTTACTTGCACCCTTTTAAATGTGCGCTAACTAGAACACCTGCTACTTGTATATTGTTTACCTATATATTTCATTCCGTTACAAACAGCATCCGAGTTCTGCGCTCATAACTAATCCATAACATTCCCGCTATTCAGGTCATTTTTTAGAATACAGAATGGATTATTCGACCAAACCTCGTTCACGTATATTCATATAGACCCGTCTGCCACCTCCGTCCCGTGTAACCCCAGACCCAACCTTGTCCCATTTTACCCTATTATCCTTTTTCGATCGTTGACCCATTTTGATCCCGAGCGTGAATGGCGTTAAACCGACCCACTACGTCTTTAACGCCGCCCTTATCTTTCGATTGTCCTTAATGCATCCATTCGCTCGTACCAGACTCTCGTGCCACATTTATATCTTCAGCTTGGCCACAGCAAAAACTTATGGCACAACGTGAAACGGCGTCGGTGCTAGCCCCACCGCTCGCGTACCCGTACTACGCTGTTTACGCCACTACGGTAGCTCGATGACCTGTGGCGCTCCGATCGCTGATACCCACCTAACCATCGACCCCTCAGATAGAAAAGCATTGCAGTAAATATGATAGCACGGGTCAAACGTGTATGGATGGATAGAAGCGACATGTGACGCCACCCGCTGGCACTCCATTTGCGAAGAAGCTGCATGTTGAGGTACAATGCGATAGGTCGGCTTGGCCCTTATATAGATTGGTATGTACATATCCGTGCCACAGATTTGTAAGAGAAACCACAGGAACGGGTGAAACATTACTGCACATAGTAGTGAAGGGTAGCACATATAAACTTTAGCTAGCCTTGGGCTAACAGCTTGTTGATGTATGTACAAGTATTTGTCTTGCTATTATTAATTAACTGTGTTTCTGAAACTTTTCTGTAAGCTGTTGTCACCATTGTCCTTTGTCTAATGCCGTATTAATTACTGATAATCAGCGACCTTGCTATAAGAGTAGGAGAAATGCTCTTTTTCTGTTTCTATTTTATCTAAATACTATTATCCGTAAGTTTCCGCTATACCATAGTAGAAAGCAGTCCTATTTTACCAACAAACAGAGAAAACTCAAATACGAGACAGCATGCGACACGGTGACGTCGATCCTCGTATAATAGTTTTCTGCCAGTCTATAATCGAAACGATGATACATCCTTTGTTCTATTACAAGTTTTTCATTTATTATAAATACAAGTGTTGGTTGTTGTCGTCGATCTGTCAACTTGATACTTCCTCTCTTATTTCGCATTTTAGCCACGTGAACCGTCGTGAGATAGCAGGGAGCAGTATAACACAATACGCCTATTCTTGTTATAGCTATTACCTAGACGTTCGCCTGCCCTCACATATCCTCGCACTCCCCTATACCTTTCTGATAGTTGATCTGGAGGCTAAACATATCAGGCAGGGGCATCAACTTCAGCGTCAGTCGAATGTCCCTGCAACCGCTCATTACGGTCAATTTCAATTGAGAAACAGACAATTTCTCGACACGCATCGCTAATAGATATTTCACTAGAGCAATCCACAACGAATTCTTTATCGGCGTTACATGCTGTTCATAACCATCTGCAACTGGGTCGCTTACAGAACAGTATTGATCTTTAATTAGCCCATTATTTAGGCCGTAACTCAAAGATTCTCTACCTAACGTGTGTTCATTGGCCTGTCCCATTCAACACCACGCTTCCGTTTCCATCTTAAACAGGCACAGTGTAAACATCTGACGTTAATCCATATAGGGAGAATAGCAGTCGAGACCTGCAGCGGCAAGGGCACCCCAACGAGGTTAGCTAATGGCACTCCATCGAAGATGTAGGAGGGTATTTCTGCTTACCCCTCTAGCCCCCCATTCTTTCTCGCAGATTTTCTGCTGCCGGATAATTCATTACCTCTACGAACAAAATTGTCTGCTAAGACAAATATCAGCTAAAAGTGAAAAATAGGATAAACAACATGAAAACGAACGCCAGGTCTGAGATGCGCGGCTGTCCGCAAGTTTGTCTATAAAGTGTGACTGAACCCACCGCACTAGCGGACAGAAGCGTGATGACTATTTGGGGTTACTGGGTCACGCCTACTTTCTCTCGGGCTTGTGGGTCGTATAAGCAGCGACCTAGCAAGTAAACAAGTGAGTCCTGCCTACATGTCTAGTTGCCTGTGTCAACTGAGAGGTCCTCTATGACGTTCACGTTTCTATGTTGACCGGTGATTTGCCCGCACTATAAGATTTTAAACGACTTTTTAGGCAGGATTATACGCAGCGGCTGCTGTGCGAGTGTGCCGGAGTCTAATAGGCAAATATATCAACGAAATGCGATGATAATGGTTCAAGACGTTTCTTTCATTTAGTCTGCTATTTTGCCCCACGTGTGTAGTTTTCATGTGTCAATGACTATAACATTACAGGTGTCCAGCA